TGAAGAAGCTGTTGTGGCTGCTGCTATGAGCAGCAGCATCTGTATGGTGAAGCAGCAACATCTCCTGCTGCAGTTCCTGCTGCTGCTGCTGCTGCTGCTGCTGCTGCTGCTGCAGCTGCTGCTGCTGCTCCTGGTTCTCCATGATCTCCCCCTGGCTTAGAGGCAGAGCATCGTATGCATACACCTTAACCTCTACAAGTGGCATTGCTGCTGCTGCTGCTGGCTTGTTGTGCTGCAGCAGCTTCGTGAAGTGTATACGCAGCAGCTGCTGCAGCTCAGATCTATAACGCCCAAAACCAGACAGCAGCAGAGCCTCCTGCAGCAGCAACAGCAACAGCAGCAGCAACAGCAGCAGCAGCAGCAAGAGAAATATGCACACATACAGACGGGAAGATATGCAGCAGCATCAACACAAAGGCCACAAGCAGCAGCAGCAGCAGCAGCAGCAGCANAGCAGCAGCAGCAGCAGCAGCAGCAGCACTTCTACTACTAATATCAGTTGCAGCAGCAACAGCAGCAGCAGCAGCAGCAACAAATAGCAGCAAAACCAGCACCAGCAGCAACAACAACAACAGCAGCAACACCAGCAGCAGCAGCAACAGCAGCAGCAGCAGCACCAACAATAGCAGCAACACCAGCAGCAACAGCAGCAACAGCAACAGCAGCAACACCACCAGCAGCAACAGCAGCAGCAGCAGCAGCAACCCACCGGCTGCAGCTCGAGGTGTTTTCGAATGTGCAGCAAAGAAAATAATCGGGGCAGCAAATTCAGCAGCCAAACAGAAAACAGCAGCAGCAGCAGCAGCATCAGCACGTTGTGTGCACCAGGAGACAGATCTATATCAGATATCAAGCTGCTGCTGCTGCTGCTGCTGCTGCTGTTGCTGCTGCTGCTGCTGTTGACGTTGCTGTCGCTATCTGCAGCAGCAACTGTTTGCGCCCCTGTTGCTGCTGCTGCTGCTGCTGCTGCTGCTGCTGCGTCATCAGGCGCTGCAGCGGCTGCAGCAGTCCCGGTAGTAGACCGCAGCAGCAGCAGCAGCAGCAGCAGCTGGCACACCCTCCCCTTAGTCAATGAGACAGCAGCAGCAGCAACTGCTGCTACTGCAGCAGTTGCTGCTGCTGCTGCAGCA